CCATACCACACGAGAAAACATCAAAACTCAAAGTAGTTTCTACTAATCCACCTCACATTCACACCCTCCTCATGTTAAAAATCTCATAAATTCAACAACCATAATTTGAGGACTTCCAACACACTGTTTCTGAAAGGTTATGTCAGCGATCACCTCAGAATCTAACCTTGCTCTATATTCACCAATAAAAACTCAACCTGTTTGCATTTATTTGTCCATAACATCTATAAAATATGAATAAAGGAATTTCTGAAAAGAGAGGTTAATAATGGTTAATGCAGCCATTATTTAGAAATACTGAGGATTAATAATATGGTGAATTGTGCTGCTGTGGAGGCTGCATCCTTCTCTGTAATTCATTTTCCTCTTATCTCTTGGTAATGGATCCTAAATCCCAAAATTAAAACTGAAAACAGGGTTGGCTTGCTACACTGGCCACATGACTAATTTGGGGCCAGTGGGGTGCAAGTTGAAATGAGTCCAGGATCTGTCTGCTTCCTGGGCCCAAGCTGCCTGTCCTGGACTGCACCCTGTCTTGCTCCCCAGCAAACAAGAACGCAGACATGGGGGACCAGCTTCAGCCATGGAGACCATGGCAGGGCAGAAAGGACTAAGTCCTGGTATGGTCCTGAAGCACGGCTTACTCACCCACCTAGGTCTATTAAATGACAAACACATTTTTTTCCCGAGTGACCATTTCTTTAAGCAGCCATAATTTTAGATTTCTCTGTCACAACAGTTTAACCTGCACTGGATTTTACAAATGTTCCCTCCTTTAATCTCCAAAATAGGCAGCTGTTGTGAGTGCTATCTCCACGTTACTTACTCCCAAGACAGTTGACTAGGTAGTGACTGAGGGATTCAGCTCATGTATAGTGGAAGCAACTTTTCTCATTATGAAAAGCATTCCTTTTTAAACCACCATATGACCTTACTTTTCTAACTTTATCCCCCCTCCCTTTCCCAGGTAATTTGCTCTTGAATATATTTTCTCTTTGGGCCTTAGGTGTCTCTATGACCCCCCTTCAGCGGTTCTCCTCAGTCATTCCTGAATTCAGCATTTCCTCAGTAACATATCAGTGATCTCTAAGGAAACTTCAATCTCAGTTGTTTCTCTCACAAATGCTGACGTCGATTTCTTCCACGCCACCTCATTTCCCACTCCGTGGGTATATACTGGATATTGATATTGTCATCATCAGCAACTGAGCTCTTAGATCTACATTTCAAATATCTTAATATCTACCCTTAACTTTCCATACTTCTAAGATATTTTCTTTAAACACATATTCTTTAATTCTTCAACCTCACTGAGACAAACCGTGGATTCCACCCTCTCTCAGTGCTAGAGGTAATCAACTTACATGGAGAAAAAGTTTATTTTGGCTTGCAGTTGGAGGTTTGTGTCCATAACCCAATTACTCTGGAGCTTTTCTCTCTAAAGACCCTGTCCTGGAGTCGCTGAAACAATCTGCACTTCTACATCTGGTCCTCCTGGTTTCTGAGATTATCTCCAGTCATTTTTCTTACTGTCCTGGTACAAAGTGCTTGACTTTTATTTGATTATTTTATTTTATTTTCTGCAGTTCAGGGAATTGAATCCAGAGCCTTTTCACTGAGTTACATCCCCGGGCCTACCTATTTTTATTTTTTATTTTGAGATAGGTTCCCACCAAGTTGCTCATTTGCCCAGCCTGATCTCACACCTGCCTTGATACTCCTACCTCAGCCTCCCAAAATGCTGGAATCACAGGTACTGTGCGACTGTGCCCAGTTTTGGTTTCTTTTTAACAGTGCCAATTTCTTTTAGCAACTATGCCCTAAGTGGCTGCACCTTTAAACCTATTTTTTTTTTTTTTGCCAAGCTGTGAATTTTTCAAATCTTTCTACTGCTTTTTGCTTCTGTAAATTTTCCTAAAAGCAGCCAGTAATAGCAATGCTGCTGTCTGAGTACTGTGCCAGCTTGAAATTTCCTATGCCAGATAAACTCTTCTGTTACCTTTAAACTCTGCCTTGCAGAAAGTTTTAAGGCCTCAGAAAATGCATCCAAATTCTTTGCCATGGTGTAAAAAGTATTGAATTCTCAACATGGCCCAATTTTCAGCATGGTCCTTATTCACTGCAACTCCATGAGCATCACTATAGCTGTGTTACTGTCAGCATCCTGTTGGCCCTCATCAGAGTTACCCTTTTATTCATCAGAGTTAAAATCCAGCCATCACATTCCAGGGGTTCCCTGGCTTCCTCCTCCACACTTTTCCAAAGTCCTCCTGGAAACAGTTCTCAAGACTCTTCCGTATCATCTCAGGTACAGTCACAGCCATGACCCCAATCTCAGCAGCAACTTCCTATTACTGTAACAAAATACCCGAGGCAGCCAGCCGTACAAGATAAAAGGTTTCTTTTCCCTCACAGTTTTGGAAGTTTTAGTCCACTACTGGGAAGACCCATGCATTTGGTCTTATGATGTGGCAGGACACCGTGACAGGAAGTGCACCCTGAAGCAGAGTTGCTCACCTCAGGGTGCTCAGGAACCCAAGAGGCCAGGGTCTTATTAACCTCTTTAAGGGCATCCTTCTCCCATCACCTATTTGGCCTCATCTCTTTGGACACCAAAACACCATCCCAAAGCACCAAGTTGGGTGCTCCATCCTTACAGCAACTTTGAGGGCAAGGAACAGAATTATAATTATAATTCCACCTCAGCAAATATCCCTAGCTCGCTTGCTTCTCCCTCCTGCTGTTGTATCACCTAGTATATCCCCAATAATAGAGCCAATCAGGGATTCACTCTGCTGGGTCTGCACCTAAGGAAATACTGCCAGAGGAAATCACATAGCACTTGTTTCACTCTAAAGTCACAGTGACCAACTTCAAACAAATCTCTGGTTCTGCACTTCAGTTCCGCTGTGTTTTCCTATGAAATTTATTTCTCACCCTCTAAAATAATGATTTCACACCTTGTCCTGTCTGCACCCATCTGCTCCTACTTCCTCCTATTGTGCCAGACAAAATATCCCTCCCATTTTCTTTGTCTATTTAGGTTGAACACTTTTCATCTTTGTAAGAATGTGACTCTTTTAGCACACCTATCCTGTCATCATCTCTTTCCTTTTTAAAAATCTGTGCTTCAGCCAATCAGGAGAATACTGTGTCAGGAGCCTCCTTTTCTATAAGGTCATTTTCTCCTTTCTGCTCTTTATAAAAGTATAAAACCCACCAGAAAGTTCTCCCCTGGGTCCTACATCATGCGTCCCCTGGTTTCTTTGTTGTTTGTTTTGTTGTGTTGTTTATTGAGACAAGATCTCACTATGCAGTTCAGGCTGGACTTGAAACTATGTAGCCCAGATTGGCCTTGAACTTGCAATGATCCTCCTGCTTCAGCCTCTTGACTGCCGGGACTACAGGCGTGTGCCACTGGGACCAGTAGCCCCCTTGTTTCTACACATTTCTTTACTTCCTTTCCACTGTCACGTATTTTGCAAGGATTGTCTGTAGTTCCTATGTCTTCCCACCTTCTTTATTCTGTTAACTTTTCTCATCAGTCTGCTCTCATAACACCACTGGAAATGATGTTTCTAATTTTTGCAAGATATTCCTGTTGTAACTAAATTTTAAAGGGGTTAATTTCCGTGCTTGTCTTATTGGACGTTAAGTCATCTTTCAACATAGTTTATTGCTCACATTTTGAACAACCCTTTTATCAATATTTATATAACTGAGTGTCTTAGTTCTTGTGAGGAGGAAAGGATTATTTTAGCTCACAGCCTGGCTTTAAGGTAGGGAAGGATGGCAGAGGAGCATGGTAGAGAGGACCTGCTCAGAGCATGGCAGGCAGGAAGAGAACACGGATGGAGAGAGAAGGGGAGGGAGGGAGAAACACCCGTGCAGGCCATGATCCCCAACCAGGCTCCACTCCCAGTGTCACGCTTAATTCATCACTGGACTAATCCACTGCCGAGTGCCATACTTCTGAGGCCCAATCACCTCTAAAAACCCCACCTGGGAGCACACTAGGCATGGGAGACATCTAGATATAAACATAACGCTGTGCTGTATTGGTGTTCTTCTGAATGTTTTAGCTCTTCTTTTCTCCATTCAGCAATTGACATTCTGTGTGGCGCTCAGTCCTTTGTTGGATATAGCTTTTATATTTTCTGGCTATGTAATCTTAGCACATCCTGATGATTTGAAAATAATCTCTATGCTATATATTCTTATATTTACATCTACATCATGGACCTTCTTTTTGAGGCTCTTCTTGTAAAGAAAGAAGAATTTTTTTTACTTTTACATAATTCGTAAGCAATGCAGATTTAGCATTTCCTAAAATAAAACTATTATGTTTCCTTCCAAGACTGTTTCTCATCCAGTCTTCTCTCGTTTCCCCGCAATGGCAGTACAGTCCCATCGGTTGCTCCATTCGGGAACCTGCTGGTGCTCTCCCGTAATTCCATCCCTTTAGATCCACTTCCAGTTCAAGCCTCATTCCCCTGGTTCTGTGTAATGCATTTCAAGATGTCTGCTCCTCTCTGTTCTCGTTGCTTTTACCCTTGTGGAAGTCACCGTCATCTCCAACTTTGTTAGAATTATCTCCTCACCTGTCTTCACAGCTTCACAGCACTCTCAGAATCTTTTCACTGAACCCTTATCCCAATGGTAATGTTTTCTACTGTAACACTCTAAGGACATCTACTCTATTTTCAAAAGCCTTTCTGAAATGGACTTTCTAAAATTTTACTGATTTTTAGTAATACGTTTAGCAGTAGATCTTTCTTTCTTATGACTTCCTACCAGCCTTCATGGTGTATAAGTTACCTGCCTGGCTTAGAGTATTTAACATAAAAAAGCATTGTGGACTTTGCTCAGATTTCAGAGTAATTTAAGAGGAGAAATGCTAATGAATAGAAAGCTTTGTAGACAATTTATTTGACAAATAAAACTTCAGTTTAGTTATTCAAGGTGAAAATTAATGAAAATTTTTTTTTCTGATTATTCAGGTCACATTCAAATTGCAGCTTGTGCTTAGCTGTGAAATAGGAGCAAAATCCAGGGTATGCAACAGTTTTCATACTACTATTAAATACTGTACTGTGCTATTTATCTCTTCATTGTAATTTCTTACTTCAGATCAAATCCCGCCAAGAGCCCTAGGGGATGGGGTTAAAGCCAATACGGATTAAAGTTCTTAGAAAACTATTCACGACACAGAGTACATAATGGAGTGTATGCTCCGCACAAAGCAGTATTAAAAATTCAATTTGATTGATAATATGTGTTACTGAATGTCATACTGGAATGGTGCTGCTCTGCTAATAGTAATGAAATGTCTGCCTTGCTTATATAAAAAGCTTTATAATTTGGTTGAAAAGATCTGTCTAAAGTCAAACCTGGACTCAGCAGGACTGCAATTTTATTTCACTACTTTTCAAAAATACACTCATCTCTTTGTTGACAATTGTAAACAACATGGACATTAATGCTTTAAGGGTCGTTTTTAAGCGAAGGTGTTTTGCCCAAGCTAATTTGACTATCTCTTTCTATCATCATTAAAAAAAAAAAGAGTTTGGAATGATCTCTTCCTCCTACAGTTTAGTTATGTGTAAACCAAATGTTAGAAAACACCTAGAACCTTCAGTGACTGCAGCCATGGGACGCTTGAGCAGCAATGCCCAGGTCATTGCCTCTCAATGACGGGACCCACAGCAACTGTGAAAAAAACTAAACAGACAATGTCTATTGTCTTTCTGAGTCGCTAAATTTGAATTACACTGTTCGGTCGTAACAGGATAAAGACTATGCCAGGCATTCAAAGAAACCACCTTGGAAGTAGGATCTGTCAACACCCCACTGCTGCTGCTGCAAAGACAAGGTACTTCATGGAGTCCCGTCCAAATGGCAGACTAGTGAACCAAATAAATGAATATTTTTAAGAGACAAAGTTTCGGAATAATATGTTGTCTAGCTAGGACTTTTGGTGATAAAGTCATATATGTTACTAATTTCAGCAAGTTTACTGTACAAAGGCAGACAAAATTTCACGGGTGATATTCTGTGGTGATGAATTAATTGGGCTACTGGAGTAGAGACGTGCCTGACCCAGACAGACTGACGGTAGGAACTCTGAGATGGCAGCTTTCCCAGTGAAAAATATCTGAGCCTTTTAAAATAAGAACATTTTATTCTGATATTTAGAAATGTGGCATGTCCCTACGAGTGAGTATTATCTACTTTTTCATTCCTCACTCTCCTTGGAAGTCCAAGTTTATAGCTTTCCATAAATACTGTTATAACTATGTTCATACAAATGCAATCTGAACCATTGGTCATACTGTAGTCACAGAACAAGTCAATACTTGACAGGAATAAAGACCTTTGGTATCTCTGATTAAATTAAAACTTATATTCTAGCTTTTGCTAGTCATCATCATAGATATGGACAAAGCATTTCAGCCCACTGTATCAAATCCAGGATGTTTCAAATGAATTTAAAAATATATGTTATTATCTTCAATAAGTGAGAGCATTAGTTTAAAAATGGCCAGAATTTGATATTTCCTAAAATCATCACTTTTTGGTACTTTCAAATGTGCTTTTAAAAAATGACACATTTTTTGGATATTTTCTAAAACAGAATAGATTTTATAAACAATATTTTTTTATTTTTTTTACTTTTTTGGTGGGGCAGGGTCTCAAACTCACTATGTAGCACAGGCTGGCCTTGAACTTGCAGTGATCCTCCTCCTCCGGCCTCTGGAGTGTTGGGATTATGGGCGTGAACCACCATGCCTGGCTCAACCTTTTATTTTTAAGAAATAATTATAAAAATTGACTTAACAAAAAAAAAAAAAGAAAAAAAAGAAAAGAAAATAATCCAAGACGTTTTTGCTGACAGCAGAAAAGGATTCAGAATATTTGTTGTTGGACTCTTTCTTGAATTCCTAAGGTTCTCCCCTCTCTTTCTCCCACTGACTTTTCTAGGCCATTCCGATCTTCCTGGTTGGTGTAAATAAGTGTGAGGAAACCAGTCCAAGGACCCAGCCACCGTAAGTACTCTGATCCCAAAGCAGCTTACACGGGTCACCAAGAAAAAGAGCTTCTACCATTTCTCAGATAGAGAGTTCTTCAAGATATCGAGACCAATAACCATGTAGAGTTGATGAGACCGGGTAGGTGTGCGACTCTACATTTACCACATGCACTGTTCTTAGGGAGGGCCTTGTGTTAGTCACTGTCCTCTTCTCTGGAAGAAAATAGCCAACACCAGCAACTTAGAGATGAGAGGTTTCTCTGGCTCACACTTTGGAAGCTTCAGTCCTTGCATGGTCAGCTTGCCCAGGGCAGAAGTGGCATGGTGGAAGGGCCTGGCCAGAGGAAATCTACTCAGGATTTCCAGCCAGAAATCAGAGCTTGAAGAGAGGAGCCCAGCAGGGAGAAACGCTCTTCTCGTTCTTGCTCCCTGTGAGCTGTGTCTTCCAACCGCACCCTATCTCTTAATAGCAAGTCAGCTCTAAAGCCCTGTAACCCTGTAACCTTTCAATAGCCCTACCTTTGAGCTTATGAGGCTTTGGAAAGATATCTAGATATAATGAGTAACAGCTGTAGAGAAACATACACATATCATTCACTAGGATTTATGAAGCACAGGTTTCAAATTAAGAATTCTTTATACAACCGAAGGTCTTTCACTTACTACCTTAGTAGTTGTTGAAGGTACAGATGTTGTAAGTCTTCAATTTCTTCACTTGTAGGTAGTCTCATTCAACCTAATAGTGTTACCATAGAGAATGAGTCTTCCTTTCTGGACAGTCAGGAGAGCACATGAGAAGTTCAACCTTAGCCACGTCTTAATCGTGTCTGTTGCATACCTGTCATGTTGCATACTCACTTTTATAACTTCCAGAACATATAACTTTATGTAGTCCCTCCCCGCTTTTTTTGCCTATTTCTTTGAACATCCTGGTGGAGCATGCACTTGCTACAGAAATCCAAAACCATCTGATTTTACCTGATTAACTTTAATGCTGAAGCTTCTTCCTGATATCAGAATCTCCTTTTGGTAAATTCTGTTGTGAGGATTTCTTTTTAGCTGCTCTAAGACAAACAAATATTTATTTAACAGAAATTTCATGCAAGAATTCAGATTTTAATGGAAAGCCCATAACAACGAGGTTGTCCTTATTATTACAGATGACTACAATATAGTCTAAAATGGTTGTGATGAATTATCATGAGGCCATCTTTCAGCCAGTGGGAAAGGGAGACGAGAAGGCATGCTCTCTACTGGCAAAAAACTAAGTTATATTGTTTCACTTGAAAACAAAGGAGACTCAGAAAAACAGACTGTTTTAGTTACTTTTCTCTGAGGCAAAATACCCAACACCTACAAGTTAAGGGAGAAGAGGTTATTTAGTTCACAGTTTGTAGAGGTTTCATTCCATAATCGACTAGCACCAAGGTAGAGTGGCACGGCAGAGGGGCAGCACAGAGGAGAAACAGTCCATGGCAGGCAGAAGACAGCGAAATAAGCAAGCAAGGGACAACCACATCTCTTTCTATCTCTTATTTTGTATTTAGGCTTCTTAAGGCAGGTAGCACCCACACCCTTACTCCTGGTGGCCTTGATCCTAGCGTTGAATCATGAATCAATTCCAGCATCACACACTCTATATCAAGTTACCTCTGAAAAAAACCCACTTATGACTGCAGGAGGCTTTTGTGGGACGTCTAGACACTAACCGTAACACAAACCTTAGCTAGAATGTGTGTCATGCCAAAGCTGGAGTTTCAATAACTAAAAAAGAAAGAAAAAGGGGCAATGAAAACAATCTGAACCTGTGAAAACAAAATATAGAATTGCAATATTCTATTTCGAGGTGTAATTTCTGAAAAGGTTATTTTACATAGTAAATGCTGAATCAATATTGTTGAATAGCTATTAGAATAGGTGTTTAAATAGAATAAAAAATGTAATTGTCTTTCCTTCTGAGACACAGACTTCCAAAATTCTCTTTAGACTCTTCTGATATCAAGGAACAGAAAATTACCTGGGAATCTTATAATTCCCAGAGAGGAAGGAAGTAGAAATAGAAATTTCAAGTGAAAAATTAAGTTACTGTGCATGTCTCAGGCAATATACTGTTTCAGAAGTTGATACTTGCCTACATTGGCTCTATGTATCCCTACCATTAACTCCTGTGACACTTGGACTTGGCTGATTTTTATATATTCATATTCAGATAATAAGTAAAACTTTAATTTTTATCACAACATCCCAGGTGTAGCACATTCTATTAAAATCTTTCCTATTTTAAATTTCTGAGGTTGGAATCATCCTAAGCCAACTTTCCCCTCCTAACATCTCCGGCTATTTTGGGCCAGCCTATATGGGTTTCTCTGTTAAGTATTTGCTTGTGGCTTCGCTATCATTGTCATGTGTCATTTTTTTTTAGTCTCATATAGGAAAAAGCAAAGTTCAAAAGGCTATGTTTGTCAAGGGGTAGCTGTTTTATCAAAAATGACAGAGGATAGATCAGGTGGGAATAAATGCCAGTCTTGCAGTCTGAAGTCATTTGCCAGCAACATCAGTAATCATCACACTGTCATTATCATCAATCAAGATCATCCTTAGAAATCTGACATTAACTTCACACTTAATGGAGGGGACTTCATGAGACAGTCATTTTAAAGCATCAGTGCAAATAGCAAAGTGAATGAGTTTAAGACTACTGAAAAGCTGAATAATTGCTTAGATTCTGATACTTTAGAAGGATTATGTAATAAAACAGGAAGTTGGAGAGGCCGTTATTAAGCTTAAGAGACTGCAAAGGAAACAAAAACAGATAAATGCAAGGATATTAAGAGAAAAGAAGGGGCGAGTTAGAAAGAAAGGAATATATAATCAAACAAGTGCTGTAAAACATCTATAAAAAGATAAATTTCAAAAACTCTCAGCAGCCAGGCATGCCTGTAATCCTAGCACTTGGGAGGCTGAGGCAGGAGGATCACCATGAGTTTGAAGCCAGCCTGCAATATACAGTGAGTTCAAGTTCAGCCTGAACTACATAGTAAGACTCTGTTTTGTTAAAAAAAATATAACAAAATAAAACTTTTAATAAATTAGCTTGAGCATCACTTAATGAAAGCAGAAAGACAAAGCACAGAAAAATCATTTTCATAGAATTCTATTGAAGGAATTTTTATAGTGAGTAATATGAAAATTTCAATATTTGGGGTTTATATTAGCCCAAGAAACAAGAAGGAGGGCATGCTATTCATAGACAACTTCTATTAGAATAATCTCTACATGTTTTTTGTATGTCTAATATGGGTCAAGCACACATTGGTTTGTGTGTGTACACATTTGCAAATATTAAGTGTTCTTTGAATGTTTATCTAGAAAGAGACACAATTGTCTGAGAAATTTTCTCTTATATACTTCTTTTCTATAATTGTTAAGCAGAGGCATAGTTCTGTGGCAAATCTTGAGCTAATATAATGACCAATGGAAAAAGATTAGATATACCAGTGCCTGAAACATTGGTATTATTAAGGAATATTGCAAGTTTTTATTTATTACATACTTATAGGCAGTCAATCAATGAAATGTTTAATAGATAAAAGTTCTCTAACAACCTGTTCACAATTTGAGAAGAAAGGCAGAAATTTTGAAAATAAATAGGTTATGTAGATATTGCCATGATAAATTTTTCATGTCAAGATAGCTGGCCACATTATTCTAGAAGTTTCTAGAGGATATTATTGGATGTGATAAGCAATTAAATCAGTGGACTTTGAATAAACCAAATTATCCTCCCCTTTAGAACTGCCCTTTATTCCCAATTTTGTAAGACAGCTTTAAACTTGGTCTTGTAACCAAAAAAAAAAAAAAAAAAAAAAATCTTTACTTACAGAATGCTTTTCCAAACAGTCATATTTGATGTTGGTGTTGGATGTTGGTGACAGATTCTTTATAGAGATGGATAATTTCTTCGAAACACATTTTTTTTCCATTGCCATAACCCAGGTACAGATGGTGGTTGTACAAGAATCTATGTTAACTCCAAAATGCAGAGGTTTCACAGGACCTCAAAGTCTCAAGACATTTCCACCAGTACAGAAGTCTTATCAGTATCATTCCTGAAGCTTTCCACCATTCCACACTGGTACTATGGCTCAGTAAGTGTTTGCTTACTAGCAGGTTAGTACATATTTGCTTCTCCTCTGATATGCTTGGTGGTCAGAAAACAAGTTGAGCTAACGTCAGCTGAGGCACACAGAGGCCAAGTAACTTGTATACTCACAATAGCAAGTGTTGATACTTAGAGATTGTTCCTTCACTCCACCACGCTGGCTGTATGTGCATGGTCTCAGAATAGGTCATAGGTATTTGAGGCAGATAGGCAGGAGATAAGGCAAAAAGAATGCATGTTCATCTATTGTTTGTACCACTACACACATGTAAAAGCACTCATGAATGTACACGTGAATGCACAATCAACAAAAATACTCTTCTTTACTTCTGTGAATAATGTTAGGACATGCAGAATACTCCTGGGAGATTGTCTATAATTTGACAGATAGTAAAGCAATGGTCTGTAGCAAAATAAAAACTAGAATCTAAACAATATTCTCCAATATTTTGAATGGAGTACAGTCTGCCACTGTGACAAAAAGTAATGATGGTCGATAAATGGCTTACCAAGTCATATTCAAATTATTTATTTGGGAAATTAAATTATAATAGTTATCTTGGTCACTTTATCATTAAGTGAAATAGGCAAACAATGAAATAATTTGATTTCAAGCCATTATTTAATGATCCATTTTTTCTAAGTAAAGTTGTAGACTTACCTTCAGTATCACTAGACCAATGTGCTCTGAATTTTTGAAAAAAAATCATAGGTATCATTTGTTACCTATTATATTCACCCCTTAAAAATAATTTTGATATTTTGACATATCCCATAGCTTGTGTGTGTGTGTGTGTGTGTGTGTGTGTGTGTGTGTGTGTGTGTTTCTTTCTTGGTTTTCTGAGACAGGGTCTCACTATGTAGTTGAGACTGACCTGGAGCTCACTATGTAGCCCAGGCTGGTCTTCAACTCACAGTGATTCTCCTGCCTCAGACTCCCGAGTGCTGGGATTACAGGCATGCTCCATCACACCTGGCTCCATAACTTGTGTTTTTAAAAGGTGTTTATGAACTTTATTTTTACAATAATTTTAGGATCACAGCACAAGGTAGCAGAAAGTAGAGTTCCCACATCCTTCCATTCCTTTTCACAAACAATTTCTCAAACAATTGCCAATCCCCTCCACAGAGGTCCATCAGCTGCAGTCAGTGAACCCATAGTGACACCTCATTTCCTCTATGAGTCCTTGGTCTCCATTAGACTTCTTTCTTCGTGTTTACATTCTGCAAGCTTTAGTAAATATATAATGTAATGTATTCACCATACACAGAATAGCTGTGCTGCCTTAAGAGTCTTCTGTACTGTCCTTATTCCTGCCGCTCCCTCCTCGTCCCTGATGATAACTGCTTTTCCTTTTCATTGTCTGCACAGTTTCACTTTTCCCGGGGTGTCTATTACTGAAAGATAGCAGGATGCTAGGATCACCCAGGTGCAGGTTTTGGTGTGCACATAACTTTTCATTTCACTTGGGTAAATACCAAGGAACATGGTTGCTAGATCAAGCGGTGAGAGTATGTTAGCTTTGTAAGAAATGGACTCACCATTTTCCAAAGTGGCTTTACTGTATTGCATTCCCATAAATCACAGGTGAGAGTTACCGCTGCTTCTTGCCAAATTCCTTGCCAGTCTTCAGAGTTGTCGGTATTTCAGGTTGTCCGTATAACAGATATGTACAAGTGTCTCTTGCGTTAATCCGCAATTCCCTGGTGATACACGCTCACGAACATCTCTTCATTTTCTTACATCTGTATGTGGGTCTTGCTAAGTGACATCCAGATTTAGATTGTTTGTGCATATTGACATTCGGTTGCTCTAGTGCTACCTCAAAAAGACCATTTTTCCTCCATTATATTGTCTTTACTCCTTTGTCAAAAATCACATGACTGTGTATGTTGTTCTATTTCTGGGCTCCACACCTTTCTTCTGTCTCTTCTTTTGTCTTTGATGTACAGTGTTGATTACTAAGCTGTATAGTAAATCTTGAAGTGCGATATTGCCAGTAATCTGTTCTTCTGTTTCAGTATCTTTCTCATTCCATCTGTTTTTCTCTTTCTCTATTATTTATCTTAATATTTATTTTTATTTATATAGTATTTGTCTTAATCTTTACTCATTTTTAAGTTATATGTTATATATATAAGCTGGAATCATTGTGAGCATTTGTGGTGCCTGTGTTTGTCAGAAACAAAAAGGCAGATGCTTTTTTATGTTTTGGTTTGATTTTACTTTTTGTTTTCCTTCCTTAACATATTTATTTTGGTTTGCTTTCTTCAGAGGTTGCCCTGCATCATGGGTGTCCAAACTTTAGGTCCGTCTGGGGCACATGTTGGTAAGACATGAGCCGTCTTGGAGTTCCCTCTGGGGCTGGTGTGGTCCACACCCACAGACTTGCTCGTTGCAGAACACACACACCCTCCCTCTTGTGCTGGCTCTGCTCATTACCTGTGGTTTTCCTTAGTGATGTTCTGTGTTCCTCCCATCCTCAGTTTCCTGGGGTTTCCAGTACAGCTTTGGCTTAAGTCCCATGGCTTCAGACACTGCCTTTCAGAGACTCCTTGTCTGGTCTTACAGGCCGACCTTTGGAATCCGAATGCACGCTTTCATGACCCCACAACTCTTGCATCATGCATGGCTGAAAAAAGCAGTATCGTAAGGACAATGCCAAGTTCTGTCACCAGTTCAAATAGGAGCTAGAGCCTCTTAGATCATGATGGGAGCACCCTCTAAGTAACCAGATGGCTGGGAATGGTGTAATGAATCCCAGGGCACCAACTCCCTAGGTTTCTTTTCTCCAGTGGGGTGTCCAGGGCCTCTCTTCGCAAATGAGGGTTAACATATTTGCATCCTTGGGCTTGTGATGGTTGGGGTCTTTATGATTGCTAAGATGTCCCTCAAGGCATCTTTCTTCTTGTCCCAGTTTAAAGTACTTCATTTCTTTTTCATGGCATTAATCTCTTTAGCAACCACACTTTCTTTGGCCCCCAACTTTTCATGTGCGATTTTTGGGGGGATCTAAATGTGTTTCAGATATTATGCTCTACTTATTCTGATTGTCACTAAAGGCAGCCACACGTACCTGTGCCACAGCCTGAATACTGACCTACCTTGAAGTTTCCTGCACCAGATCAATTAGTCCACTCACTTTTTAACTACTAAAAGTCTCAAGATATGGGCAAAATGTGACTTTTTTGTGTGTGTGCTGTATCAAAAATGTCCTCTACTCCAGTTCCTGTTAAAAGACAAAACCTCATGAACTTCCCTTTTACTGTCTGCATTTCTATCAGTATCTTTATCTTCCTAACCCCAGCTAGATTTACCCATCAAACTCTGGTAACAATATCTTGGCCTTTTCTAGCCCATATCTCTAAACCTTTCCAAACTCTCCTATAAGCCAGTCCCAAAAGCTTCTGAAACACAGGCACATATAGTCACAGAAACGACTCCTCTTCTGTGAGTCCAGTTTCCCTTTTTAGTCACATTTTCAGTGATGAGATCAAATATCCAACATACACAACTGAAAGGAGGAAGTGTTTATTTTTGCACATGGCTTGGCCACAACTGGCCAGTGGAGCACAACTGTTCATTTCAAGGTGGCTAAGAAAGAGAGCACAGGAGAAGAGTCCCTGGGAGGAAGGGGACAGGACCCCAAGGTCCTGCCTCCATGACCCACCCAGACACACTCAAAAGAGGCAGCTTGTTCTCAAGCCAGTGAAGTGATGGAAATGCAATAGGGCCGTGAAGACAACATTTTAATCTTTATTGATTCTTGTTTAAGAACCAAAATCATGATGTTTGTTGGCTTGATTCAAGAAAAGGACAAAACATATGGCTACAGCATCATATATAACCTTCCTCAGTAAAAAACCCAGGGCTATCACAAAATGCTTCCCAAAGAGCAGGAAGAGAGCAACTCAGCCTGTCTTGCCTACATGTGATAAAAATTTATGTGAGTTGGTAAGCTCTTTCTATCGTTGAAGCTCCCTGGGGATAGACCCTGGACAATGAATAACAGCTCCCAGGCTCTGAGAAAATATTGGTCAGGAAAATTGTAAGATGGTTTTTGTGTTATTTAACTGATCTTTGTAACAAAATAGCATTTGGTAGGTTGCCTTAGTGTGTTTTTAATAAATAGTTTTGAATTTAAGAAGTTAGAAAACTTCAGAATATAATTCAGCATGCACATCATGATCATCTGTGAAGCTTTTAAAACTATACCCATCTGGGTTGTGCCTGTACAAATTTCTGATCATGAAGATCTGAAATAAAACTTAGATGAATAGATTTTTTTAAAAAAAATCTTAGCAGATGATAGTCAGGGGGGCAGTTTGACAGGCTGATGTACAGAAGCCACCTAGGTGGGAAAGCCCTCCTGACCTTCTCCTGCTCCTCTCACTATGGGTGTGGACCACACAAGAGACAAGCACGAGTGAGGTGCTGCATGGTGAATGTAACACCATGTCACAAGTTGGGGCTGTCAAGTCACTTTTAGCCAGATTCAAATCTTAGTTGGCTATTTAATTGTACTATGGTTTCCTCCTTTGTAAAAAGGAGACAAACTACATGTAGAGTTTCTTGCAGTGATTAATACTCATGTAATGAATATGCCCCAATATCTCAAAGAGTTGGTGAGGAGCGAACAATCTTCTCATAAAAGAGCTCACTTCTGACCATGGCACAATTACAATGTGATTGAACATGGCTGAGAATTTGAAGCTCACCACGCAGATATTCTAATTCAACCAGTCCTGTCTATAGTATAAGAGTTGAGTAGAGTTACAAAAATGAAATTGGTTAGATTATTGTCATTAAAATGGTGGCTCACTAGATTATTATTAGCAAGCTATTCCTAAGAAAAATACCAGGGTTTGTTTTAAGAATTCTCCATCATCAGCGTTTGTTAGTTTCCTGCACATATGAAAAAAATGTGTGTGTGATCTTATGGAACAAAGATATCTTCCAGACAAATGTGTGTTGATTTTCTTTCTTCTTAGCCTAAGTGGATTATGCCCCAATGAACACATAGTTTTGTTTATCTGTGTCCTTTCACACTCTAACTTCATTTTATCTTGAACCAAGTTGTGGTGCTTTGTTAAATTTTCCCCATAAGAAAGTGATTTTGAGCTTCCAATCCATCAAGGATGATGACTGGGAAGTACGTGAAGGAAGAGACAAAATGTGCTTACCAGAAAGCTGGAAATATAAAGCAATGTTTTCTGCTTGTCACCATGAAAGAGCATGACGAATTCATTGTTACCCTGACCTCACAGTTGTCAGCTATCCCACGCGCAGTGTCACGTAGGCGCTATGGTTGTCACTAGCAGAAGAATTCGGTGTGTCTTTAGAAAGCACCACAGTGGTTCCGCCTCCTGCCTCCCAAGCACAAGGTCCCAAGTTCAATCCCTGGTACCCCCCACAAAAAATATAACAGAAAACACCAAATATCACTGCACTGCCCCAAACAGAAATGTCCATTATTCCTCATTTGAATGAGGGATCCCACAGGTCCACGACATGCTCATGTTGGGATTGAACACCTTTAGCGCTGAGGCTGTATATGTTGTTTTGGTACATACTGGACAGGTACATTTGCTTCTTTCAATTTTCATAGGACTTGAGAGCCAATTTTCCTCTAAAGGTGTGTGTGTGGCTCGTTGTCAAATGGGTTATATTCAAGAATGCTTCTTGATTATCCAAGTGTAAGATGAAGCCAACAAATTCTTCAAGGAAACAGCCCTGTGCCAGGCACTGTGCTGCCTGTGAGGACACAAGGGTGAGTATGGTCAGACCCTCTTATCAACAAGCCTGCCATCTATGAAGAGCAAACAAGCTTTATGCTGAAGTGGGGGTACAGGTGGAATGTTACGGCCACGTACATGCAAGAGCTAAGGAGGTCTCATGGATGAGGTTACAGATATTGGTGTACTAATCCAGGAGAAAGTGGTGGGGCAGGGAAGTTCAGCAAAAGAAAGTAGCCAGCACTAAGCCACTGAACTGGTTGATCAGTGATATCAGAGTTTTGAGATCGGGCTGATATGGAAACAGATGATGACAAGCCCCAAATGTTCTCCAATCTACATAGAAGAGCCTGTATTTTGCCCTGAGAATGACAAGATGCCAGTAGAAAGGCTGTGAACATATCTGCAGAGAAGGCATCTAGCAATATGAAAAATAAGATAGGAAGAATATTAGAATTAATCCCTTTTGTGAAGGGCTGTGCTACTGGTATGCAGCTTTCACTCTCCCAGAGCGATTTCGACAAAAGTCTTAAGAGGCGTCTGCTAAATTTCACCAGAAGCGATCATCACCATTTCTGTAACCGAGGACTCGCAAACGGAGGTAAGATTCAAGTCTGCCTGCAGGGCCGCTTCTCCATAGAGGAGGGCAGTGCTGTTATGGCACTCGCGGGACAGGAAACCATGGTGCACATATGGGCTCCTGTCAGGCAGGCATTTCTAAAGTTAGGGAACGGAATGCACCATCAGCTGTTTGATCTGAAATGCAGTACCAGAGGCTGCCAAGCAAGCCTCCTGGTGCTGTGTGCTGTGCGCTGCGCGCTGCCATTACTTCCTACTGATTTCACACAGCTCCGCCTTTCTCCGAAAGCTCATCTATCTGCTTGAATTCAGATCAAATCAAAACACAAACTAGCCTGTTAAGTTGCAGATGGTTGTTCTCAGTATGTTCAGAGCTTTAGGTTTCAGAATCCCTGAAAAACGACACAATGTGTGGGAAGACATTTGGGAACCACTAATGGGATCTCAGTCTTTGTACTTCGTTGTCTTAACACTTATAGGAATGGGTTTCAGAAAAGGAGAACTAACTTATTCCAAATAGCTATGAAAGGCGGATCTGGAGTATGTGTGAGAATTGTAAGCAAATCAATTTTATTTTAAGGAAATAAAAATATTTCTAAAAATTAGGACAACAATTTTAAAAGTTTTCTGTTTGGAGCTTTAAGCTTCACTCTGCGATGAAGTTTCTTTATAATTTTAAACAATTTTTGTTTCATTGGTAAAAGTGAACATACCCATATAAACAACATTTATTTCTAGAAATCAATGTTATTCGATGAAGATAGAAAAGTGATAAAAGTAAATACAAAACTGTAATGACTTTCCCACAATGCCAGTGAAAATCCTGTCCTTACTTGAGATTATATTTTCTTATAGTTTTTGGTGTTAAAATAACCTTTCCATTGGGAAATATTTGTAGATCTTGGGTTGCTGTTTTTATTGTCTCTAACTTGACAAAAAGATGAGTTATTAAGGCAACATTGGCTTCCCTGGATACTTCCTGAAATAAATGTCTTTCATCAACTGTGAAATCCCAGAGTGTAGATAACTATCTATGAGAAATGATGGAAAGGGTGTTTATTCATTGCATAGATGAGAAATGGAACATATTTAGGTTTTTTCCCAACCTGGAAATGAAGCTACATTTTATTTCAAATGGTTAAAGGAAAAACTTTCTAGCATATTCTGGGGTCAATTAAGAGTAGTGTTTTTCTGTTTCCCTCTCTAGGACAGAGTAGACCTAAATGCATGTTTATTTTCATTGTATTTAACAAACATTCTATTATTTTTGTAAGTTTTAACCTACTTACTTCCTCAAGAGACACTAGAATCCTTAACGTTAAGTTGCCTTATATTAAAAAAAAATAAGCAAATTAAATTAGAACATTTGCAGCTATTGCCTCAATAAACTGTTCTTCCAATATAATAGAGAAAATGTAATTGTTTTATGAGAAAAATCAAGACACAAAGAGTACATTTGGCTTCTAAACACTTTTAGATCTATGGAGAATTTTGAAAGGATATTATGTATTTTACAGTGATAAATTTCTTCTCTTGAAAATATCATTAATAACAATAAACTGTTTCACTATGATTTTTAACTTGTCCAGAAATTTTATAATACAAAAAAGGATCATTGAAAATTGATGACTATTCCTGGAAAAGCAACTCAAAAACATCCTGCAGATGACAAGTTACCTACATTATCTTTGCTTATAGAAAGATAGGAGCTTACAGAATGATGGTGGAGCACAACTGAATGTTTTCCAATCAAAAACTCAGTCTGACATGTTTTATCTGGCAGCCTTGAATAACGACCTCATTTTTCAAAACTCTGTTTTGTGCCTGCTGAAGTCCAGGAACACAGTTGGGTCCTTTGTGCCAGTTTGCTGCAGATAAAAAGAAAAAAAAAACTATCAACATAAGTCTACAATACAGATGTGTAACTTATGAATCTATTGTTTCTCATGATGGTAAAATAGATCAGTAAGAAGCATTCAGGAAAGGAAGTTACATATGGTAACTGATTTAACAGACAAGACACACTTTTGTTCCATGAGCAAAAAAGGCTTTTGAAATATTATTCAAAGATTCTATCTACAGTCATTGAAATATGAAAGCACAAATAGTAGTCAAATGAATGTTTACTTACAACTTATGTCTTGAATATTATATAAAATTCTGAAAGTACAAGGAAAAATATACCACAAACAACTGAAAAAATGGAATCATATGTCCCTATAATTATGTAAATTTCTCCAGTAGCTGTACTGAGATGAAGTTTTTGAAATTACTGTTTCCCTAATATTATACAATTTTTAACTTTGTTAGTGATTACAGAGAATTCAAACTGAAAGGAGGTATATTATTTATAATTACTAAATCATTCACAACTAAATATTATAAAATTCTTTAGTACTAGGTAGCTCATAATAGAAACAGAGCAATTGTACAATGTAGGTGGTGTTATAGAATATAAATTTCTTCTGCAAAGTTATCAAGAAACGCCTTGAGTGAGCAATATATTGCTCATATCTTTTGAAGCATTAAAAGATCAGACATTCATTCTGAAACATTAAATGATGCAAGGAACATGTTATATAAATGAATATACCCACTGCAAAATATGTTTTTAAATGAGGTGACTGTAAAGGTACTAAAATAAATGGATAATAAGAAGCTTGTGAAATACACGTTCAATGACACACTGCAATCATGCAAGTTCGTTAGGATATCTTAATATCCCTACATATTTGCCAAATTATTTTCCACCCTTGGCTATAGTGAAGTCACCTTCTACAACTTTTAAAAACTCAGAAAAAACGCTTCTAAAGCATCCAGGAGAATATCTTAGCAATTTTTCTCAGGAGAGCCAATCCAAGGGCCTTGCATGTGCTAGGCAAGTTATATCCCCAGCCCTTTTAACTATATTTGGAGATAGGGTCTTGCTAAGGTACCCAGGTACTCTGGGACTTGTTCTCCTCTTGTCTCAGCCTGACAAGAAGCTGAGAATTTACACATGCCCCATACTGGTGTTCTGGATTCTTCCTTTCCCCTTGTGGGAGCCTTATATTAGTAACTACATGCCATGATTTCTACCTCTGTATAATCTCATACTTATTCTTTTCTCTGTTTTTTCTGCAAATGAGTTGGTTCAGCTTTTATCAATTGTCTTTTATGGACTATTGAAATAGTCCCATAACCATTTTCCTCACTGTGCCTTTCATTTCAACCTTCATACAGGAAGTAGAGGATTCTTTCACATTGCGAAGTGTATCTCAGTAGCCTTCTGGGCACAATAACCAGCAACTTTCCACCGTCTGTCAAGGTATGAAATGTAAAGTCCTTATGTGGCATCATATGCTACATACGTGATTCTGATCCTTCCAATTCAATTATGATCTTTAACCTAATCAAATTAATAAGTTACATTCACAGTGCATAATGTGTAAACTGCCTGTGTTACCTCATCTAGATTTCTTAATATTTCTTTTTATCGAAAATAAATATTTCTAGATGTTTAGCATAGAATTACAATGTCTATTTCATAATTAATTAATTATTGTAATTATTGCAATTTGACAGAAGAAAAAAATGAGGTTAAGAAGAGGAACATTATTAGCTAACAGTAATGCAACCAGTTAGCAGCATAATAGAAGGGACTGAAATACAAGTTTTCTGACAGCTAGAGGCAAGGATTCTAATCTCTACATTATGTCACAATGAACTATTTGAACTTTGCTGGATGTGCCATTACTTTTAGTCTGGGCATTATTTATATATAAGTTACAATAGAAAATGAAATCATAGTTCTTTTTAGTTTTTATACCTTGTATACAAAGGAAATTTGCCACCAAATATTTTATATTTAGTCAGTAAATCTAAGTACCACAACAAACGAGACGCGAACAAAGTCTTTGTGTTTCCACAACATGCAATGCTGAAAACCTTGAGTATAAACTTGGATTTTTCCTAACAATTAGTTGTTTTTTTTTTTCTCAACCCTTTCAACAAATAAATACTACTTGCTACAATGTAAAGATTTTTCTCTTAAATAACTAAACCACGCCATGAAAGTTTTCAACACGATAATTACAAAGTCTTGGGATTTATTAATTTTGTTCTAGGGGGAGACAGATTCATAGCAAGGTTCTTGCACAAAGCGAGAAAAACAATGCATTCATTGTTCAAATAGAAAGGACTGTGGTGACTTCAAGATATGCACATAGCTGAGATACATATTTATGCCTTTTGTAAAATGCTTTATATTATTTTGACTCATACAGATGCAGTGAGCCATCACTGTGAATTTCCTCCTGGCCATGCCTGTGATTTCAGCAGCAGATCAAATGTTGGTGTTCAATTCAGAGATGTACCTGTACGTGTACCTGCATGGGAAACACTGAATTATATAAAGGTTTGCTACCCGTTCATCCTGTTTAATGCAACACTAGAGTAACGTCCCTATGCTTTGCTCTTGACAAGATAAAGGAATCTATAATTAGTCTTTGGTCAGAGAAAATGAGGAGTAGGAAAACAATTTCCATTAAACCCTGCTTTGAATTATGCTCTGTTTTCTTAGCTCAGCTCTGAAACACCCTTTGGTGCTTGACAACCTGTTACATATCTACCCATGCATTTACTGTTCTCTCTCCAGCCTCAGTGATAAATAGTATATTTTATGCTCATATTTTAACTCATTTTAAGAGATGAGTGAATCATTTTTACTGTAAATGTAGACAAAGTCAATTAACCTCTCTGCCCTTCAGTTTCCTTCTCTGTAACGTGGAGTAATAATAGCAACCTCATAGGTTTTGGTGCGTATCAAAGAGATCCTGTTCTTGGTATGTAACTGACAAGCTATAACCATCTACCACCTGCAAGCTATAATTATTCTCCCCAACTATCCTATCTTCAGAAAGATCCCCCTTTAACGGCTTTCTTTCTATGCTGAAAGAATAAAACCTTTGCGATATTTTTAAAGATTATAAAACTTTTAATTTTTTTAGTGTTGAGAAGATATTTCATGTTACTTTCTCATCTGTAAAATGGGGGAATAACAACACTGAACCTATGGGTTGTTGTAGGAGATTCATCGAACAAATTACATGCAAATCCCTAAGAAGAGCACAGGGCATATGGTAGGCGCTCAATAAATACACTGTTATTATTAACATTGCATAACCAAGGTCCACGAGCAAACATTTGGAGGCAACAGAGACCAATATAAAAAATAATCTGTTGTTCTCATTACATGTGGTTAGTTGGTTTTCTCCAGAGAATATGCCCTGAGGTATTGAATATGAACATGAACTGAAAATTTGGCCAGTGTAAGAAACATTCCCTCATTTCCATTCTCTCTGTTCACTCTATGAACATGTTTTATAAAACCCCTCAGGCATGGTATTTGATGAGTGTCAGCCCAGTGAACTTGCATTTGTATGAAAAATGGAATTTTCTATCTGGAAGATAATTCATGAATTAAGAGACATGATAAAGACAAAAAACTACAAGATTGCTTATTGGTAAATTAGGTGGTATTTTCTAATGTGCTATCCCTTGTTCTAAAAGCCTCAACAGAATTAATCCGTTTAGTGATCGTAAATTTTACAGGCCTCCATTAGTACTTCCACTCGACATGTTAGAGAACCAAGACACACCCCAGCCAATATATTTGAAGTTCATATTGCTAATATATTTGAAGTTCATTTGTACCCAAGGAGTCTGGGTCCAAAGTCTGCCATTATCAGTTTCTAGAAATTTTTGGTGTTCTCTCCAATGCCCCTGTTTTGGTATTCTGATCGATATTCCACCTTTTGGTCTCACATCTAAATAGAAGACTCAGGCCACATGCTCACCTATCATTACATGACCAGCCATGTGCTGTTAGTGGAAAACTCCCAGGTCACAGAACAAAACTTTTGGTCTTGCTTCACTTGCTGTGTTAACGCTACTCAGTCTATCATTTTTTATAATGTACTTTTTATGTATTTCACAAGGAAGCCTCTGTAGTTAAGCAAGTTTGGAAAAAGCTGAGTAAGCCAAACAAACTCCAATAAATTTTAAATGAACAGACACCTGCAAAATTTTATTATGACATATATATGAATACGAGGCTATTTCTTATGATTTCACTTAGACAAAAATTCTCCAATTATGAAAAATAAGAAACTAGCTTGTATTTATATTTATTTTAGTACATTTCTGTTTTGAACTATAATCTTTTACAGTATCCAGAACATTTCCTACTTAAGAAGATCAATTAGAAAAAACAAGATAAAAATCTATACTTAAATTAACATAGTACACCCTTCTGCAAATTTTTGATTCATCTCTTAATGACATGACATTTCTGTTCCTCATCTTTTTCTTGAGCTTTGGAAGGGTTTCAGGGAATTAAACCCAAGGCCTGGCACATGCTAGACAAGCACTCTACCACTAAATGACATCCCTAGACTTTTTCATTTTGAGATATTGCCACAAAGCTCCCCAGACTGAACTCAAGCTTGAGCTCCTCCTGCTTCAGTCTCCTGAGTAACTGGCAATCATTTTCTTTGTATCCTTTGTGCCTAATAGATTTCCCGACACAGAATAAGTCTGGATAGAATGAATCTGTTATGACAGGCTTTTCAAGAGAAAGTCCATGTAGTGCTATCTACCAAGAGTGATACTAAGACGTTTTTGCTGCAAACATTATGATGCGTTTGTAGTACAACATCTACAGTCCTTAAATGCAATAGAAATGCGATTGTTGACCAAATACAGAAAATACTGTGTTGTTTGGTAGGTATGAAACAACTGAAATTCTGAGCAGAAGTATTTAAAATGAAATGCTTTCGATTTCTCGTGTTCCTGTCTTTCTAAAGTTACAAAGTAATTCCAATTAAATATAACTTTTTGAAAAATTCTCTAGTTGTGGTGTCATGACTTTTATGACTGGAACAACTCCAGATCCAACAACTTCAGCCCGTGGTGCACATGGCTTTACACTGAAGTTTGATAAGCAACATCAGTGATTTGTGTACCAAGCTGGTTGAGTGACTAGTACTGTGCAATTATCACTCTCTCTTTTTCTCTCCCTAAAGTTCAATATTTTGTAGATCCCAGAGAGAGCAATCAATGCCCTGGCACTCAATCCTGTTAATTCAAACTATCATAGACAGACATAAGCTCAGATTTTTTATGAAACTTGTTAAGCAATTTTGTGGGACACAGAAAGTGATAAAACACGAATTTTACTAATACAATTTATCTCATTGCAAAATTAACAGTGTTTCAGCTAAAAACATGGGGACCCCTCTATCTCAGTGCGATATCCCTAAAGCCATAGGATCTAGATCCCATGTTTGAAGACTGGGGCATTTGGGACAGCTCTGTCCTTAAGGTCATTTGGAAAACAGGACTGTGAAATCATTGCACCCTATGGCAAAGTATGAATCAAAATTATAGCAGTTGTCCGAAGGTGAATTAATCCAGGCAGACAGTATTTCAGTACAAGCTATTGTCTATCAATGGCCACGGAACATGTAAATATAGAGCTAGAAAATAGGAAGAATATACTTTCATCAAGCTAAACTTTGAAGCCTGCCTCTGTTGCCTGCTAACATCTAGGACCAGGCACTTCTATTTTAATTCCCTTTCTTCAGCACAGTTACTTGCTCTGTTATATTTAGATGTGGCTGTTATAAATATAACTCCTCCACAATGGTGAAATATAGAATTCATTGGAAATATTACCTTTCGTTATATATCCTTTTCTCCCTTCGCTTCCTGGCTTTGCCCACTGTCACGTAGCTAAACAGTTGTTGAAATACTTTTTCTCCACAAATATTTTTTCAGTATATAATTCGAGTGATGATGACAGCTATCCAAACACTAAATATCCATGACCTATTACTGGCTCAACAAGCTATGTAAAAGATTCAAATACTTGGCAATTTTTCTTTATTTTGATAGCAATTGTTAGATTTTAAAAATAATTACCTGTTCTATATTTATATCATGAATACCCTGGGGGGAAAAGTAAATCTCTTTCAAATGCAAACTCGTCTCTTAATGAAGGTGATATTCTTTGAGGTTCTTTTTGTAGAGTCTTACCAAAAATACATTGCATTTCTTTCACATAGGCAGGTATTAAAATATGTCCAAGTTAAAAGTTAAAAAAAAAAAAGTAGCAAACATGTAGTGCTTTATAATAGCAACTTCCTACACTGTAATTCTAGAACGATCTCCTAGGAGATACATATGTAGAAAAACACAGAGTAAATGTTACTTTAGCTATAAAATTTGGACTTTATTTCAAAAGTAATAAAAAAATTTTAAAACAGCAAAAGGGCAGGTTTTACATACTTTATAAAATTTCTGATGTTTAACCTGAAATTTTCTTTCAAGAAGCAGGACCAACTGGTCAAGAATGTTTGCCATAGAAACAGACCCTCAAATGATATAGATATTGGAGTTATAGATAACAGAACATTATCTTATTAATATATTCCTAGGAATGCAGAAAACATGAAGGAGAAAAACTGGTTAATTAAAAAAGAGAATCAGAAATATTGCATTGAGGAATGTGATAATGGAAATAACAACTTGATAAATTTGTTACAACAACAAACCTGACCACACAGAAGAGAATAATGGTAAATTAGAAGACTGATCAATAAAGTTTGCAAACCCTCGCACACAGAACAAAAAAAGTGGAAAGAGAGGAAGGAACATGATGACAAGATTTAATTTAAATTTAATTGTGGTCGCAGAAGGAGGACAAAAAGGAAATGGAATAGATTAATATTTGGAAAAATTGAGATGAGTTTCCTAAAACTGATTAAATATGTAAAGTCGGTGTGAGTTGCAGATTTCCATGTACTCTAACTGGAAGTGTGAGAAAGACGATTCCTGGGCATATGATAATAAAAATCTGCTTTAATGCACATATGGAAAGCTGAAATCCTTAAGAGCAAATAGAGGAAAGGCACATTACTTTCAAGGGAACATCAAGGCCACTGACACCTGACTTATCAATAAACCCAGGACAAGTGCATCACCACAGTGCAAAGATGGAACTGACAACATCAGATTGTACACAAAGCAAAGTTGTCCATCATTGAATAATGTAAGAGTCATCTTCAGATAGCAGACACTTCAAAAATAGTAAAAGGGCTCACAGTCAATAAGAAAATAGTCTCAGTTGGAATTACAGAAATCTAGAAAGAAAAGAAACCATCAGAGATGAAAACTAATGGAAAACATTACTTGAATTTTAAATATATTATTTTGGATCTAGTCACAAATAAAAAAACCAGACAAATTAGAAAGGGAAAATTTCAATTCGCCAAAGGGTGAATTTGGGACTGCGAAAAAAATATGACAACTGGCTTA